GGGAGACATGGGAGGAGATGGAGGGGAAGGAGTGGGCATGGATTTGATCAAAACACGTTATATGCATGTATGACATTCTCAATAAATTATTTAAAAATAATAAATAAATAAATAAATAACATGAGGGCTCACAGGGCTAGAGACATGGCTCAGTGGATAAGAGCACTGGCTGCTCTTGCAGAGGACCCGAGTTTGATTCCCAGCACCCACATGGTGGCTAATAACTGTCTGCAACTCCAGTTCCAGGGGATCTGACGTTCTCTTCTGACATCCTTGGGCCCGACACAGGTGCACTTACACACATGCAGGCAGGTAATAAAGTCATACCATAAAATAAAAATTTTAAAAATGAGGGATCAGAATAGAGCTCAGTTGGTAGTGTGCTTGTTGCAAACACAAACAATGGTTGATCTCAAGTACTGTGGTAACTAAGAAGTGGAGGCAGGAAGATCAGAAGTTCAAAGTCATCCTTGACTGCAGAGCAAATTCAAGGCTAGGCCAGGCTATAAGACTTTATTTATAAATGGATAAATAATAAATAAATTATAAATGAATAGATAATAAATAATCTGAATTAGGCTATATCTATTTCTACCTCAGACCAAGTATGTTTTATCTAAACAAAATGTTTGGAACCACAATCATTACACATTTGAGTTTCTCTGATTTTAGAAAATTTTTAGACTTTGTGGGTTGAACATCTTGAATCCCCAAATCGAAATGCTCCAAATTTCAAAACTTGTGAACCTTGAGTCAGTGCTTAGAGGTTTGGATTTCAGAGCTCTTTGGATTTCTGACTTGTGGATAATGCTCCTTGTAGAGCAAGCCTGCTACACAGAGATTGGGATTGCTGAATGAAAGCAGAATAACTGGGGTATCATCGAGGCAGCCAGAACTTGAGGAGATAAAATCCAAGGCAGAAGGCAAGCCTGTGCTTCCTATTTTTTTTTTCAGGGGCATTTGTAGACTCTCAAATATAGGGGAAGACTCAGAAGTCAAGTATGAGGTTTGAGAGGGTTAACAGCATTTTTTTTTTTCCTAGACTGGGGAGCTGTAAATATGCAGGAACATGGGGTGCTGAATTGCTAAGCCTAGAGAACCAAGATCTCAGAAACGAGTGAGGCTCAAAAGAGAGCTCAAGCTGGGGTTCCCACTATAAGGTGCTTGCCACTCTCTGAAGCTGTTTGGAATGAAAGGCTACAAAGGCCGAAAGCAGAGAAAATGAGTCAGATTGGTGATGTAGACCATCTCAAAGCATTGAGGTGACAAGGCCATTCAGGAACTACTCTGTGTCATTTGTGTCTGAAGTTCCACTTTTGGAAAGGGGCTGAACCAGAGTCAGAAGTATCCTTACAAAGACTGCAGCCTTTCCTCAACTGTCTCCATCCTCCAGCGGCTATGGAGACCCCTTTCCAGAGGAAAGCATCAACCACTGCTGCCTCATTTAAATACATCTGGAATGTGATTTTAAAAAAAAATGGAGTAACAAACAGAACCACGAGTGACACAGAGATTAACAGTTTAAAAAATAAACTTTAAATATGAATAACATGCTCAAGGAAATGAGCTGGAGTGTTTACCAAACAATAGGATATAAAAAAAAATTATAACCAAGCTGGGCGTGGTGGCGCACACCTTTAATCCCAGCACTGGGGAGGCAGAGGCAGGCAGATCTCTGTGAGTTCAAGGCCAGCCTTGTCTACACAGTGAGTTCCAGGACAGCTGGAGCTACAGGGAGACCCTGTCTCAAAAAGACCAAA